TCTGCCACCCCCTGTTCTCCATCCTGGTGTCCCCTGCCACCCCCTGTTCCCCATCCTGGAATGTCCCCCCATTGCCGCAGGCACCCTCACCCCAGTGTCCCCTCCTGGCTGTCCCCCATCTTCCCCCCTCCCTTGCGGTGTCCCCACCATGTCCCCTGCTGTCCCCGCAGGAGCCTCCTAAACAAGCCCAAGAGTGAGATGACGCCGGAGGAGCTGCAGAAGCGGGAGGAGGAGGAGTTCAACACGGGGCCCCTCTCCGTGCTCACCCAGTCCGTCAAGAACAACACCCAGGTCCTCATCAACTGCCGCAACAACAAGAAGCTCCTGGGGCGCGTCAAGGCCTTCGACAGGTCTGCACCCTTGTCCCCAAGGTGTCCCCAGGAGGGGTCCTTGGTGTCCTGTGGGGTCACTTTAGCATCCTGGGGCAGGAGTAGGGAAGTCATCGTGCCTCTGTACTCGGCACTGGTGAGGCCTCACCTCGAGTACTGTGTTCAGTTTTGGGCCCCTCACTACAGGAAAGACATTGAAGTGCTGGAGCGTGTCCAGAGGAGAGCCACCAAGCTGGTGAGGGGCCTGGAGAACAAGTCCTATGAGGAGAGGCTGAGGGAACTGGGCATGTTTAGTTTGGAGAAGAGGAGGCTGAGGGGAGACCTCATTGCCCTCTACAACTACCTGAAAGGAGGGTGTAGAGAGGCAGGTGTTGGCCTCTTCTCCCAAAGGACGAATGACAAGACCAGAGGAAATGGTCTGAAGTTGGGGCAGGGGAGATTTAGATGAGATATTAGAAAGAATTACTTTACTGAGAGAGTGGTCAGGCACTGGAACAGCCTGCCCAGGGAGGTGGTGGAGTCACCATCCCTGGAGGGATTTAAGAAACGTGTAGACATGGCTCTTCAGGGCATGCTCTAGTGCCCAAGGTTATTGGTTTGTGGCGAGGTGTTGAGTGTGGGGTTTAGTTGGTGGGTGCGGTGTTTTTGGTGGGCGTTTGGTGTGGTGTGTCTTTTTGGGGTTTTTTTGGGTTTTTTTGTGGTTGGACTCGATGATCTCAGAGGTCCCTTCCAACCACTAAGATTCTGTGTGATTCTGTGTCCTGTTGGGCCTGAGGGTTCCACGGTTCTCCTCTCCTTTATCCTTGGGGTTTATAATGTCCCCCTGGGTCACCCCAGGTCCCCCCGTGTCCCCCCTGGGTGACTCCAGGGTCCCCCCACAAACCCCATTGTCCCCCTGGGTCACCCCAGGATCTTCCCAATGTCTCTCTGGGTCATCCTGGGGTCTCCTCATGGTCTCAGTGTCCATCTGGGTCACTCCAGGGTCCCCCCACAGTCTCCTGTGTCCCACCTGGGTCACCCCAGCTCCCCCGGTGTCCCCCTGGGTCACCCCAGGATCTCCCCAGTGTCTCTCTGGGTCACTCCAGGGTCTCCTCATGGTCCCAGTGTCCCCATGGATCACCCAAGTCCCTCCCAATGGTCCCAAGTGGTCCCTCAAGGGTCACTCCAGGGTCTCCCCACAGCCTCCAGTGTCCCCCCACAATCTCCATTTTCCCCCTGGGTCACTTCAGGACCCCCTCATGCTCCCGGTGTCCCCATGGATCACCCAAGTCCCTCCCAATGGTCCCCAATATCCCCCAAGGGTCACTTCAGGGTTCCCCCAGGGGTACCCAAGGGTGACTCCAGGGTCCCCCCCCAGCTCCCCCTGGTCTCGATCCCCTCGGGGCCCCCCAAGATTTCCCTTGGTCTCACTCACATCCCCCTCCCCGTGTCCCCCACTGTGTCCCCCCCCACGGCAGACACTGCAACATGGTGCTGGAGAACGTCAAGGAGATGTGGACGGAGGTGCCCAAGAGCGGGAAAGGCAAGAAGAAGTCCAAGCCGGTCAACAAGGACCGCTACATCTCCAAGATGTTCCTGCGCGGGGACTCCGTCATCGTCGTCCTGCGCA